CTGCCTGGGCTGTCCTGCTGACCGTGGGATGCCAAGGTCAGTGTGTTCGCGGCGGGTTCTGATCAGCCCTCGAAGTGTTTGGTCTCTGCCCTGGTCAGCGGACTGTTGACTTCAGTCCCTGCAAGTGCTTTACTTTAGCCCAAGTGGGGTTTTCTCAGAGCACTGCCACAAGCTAAGTGTACGTTTAGCCAAATAATTTCTCCATAAGGGAAAAATGCGCTCATTCAAACGTTACCAGCGACGACAGAAGTGAGAGTAGGAAAGATTAGGCAACATCTGGGTTTTGATTTGGAAAGTGTCCAAGTCCCTGTCGAAGGCTGGCTGAGAGCCAGTGATCATCCAGAGAGATGCTTAGGAGACCCCACCTGGAAGTGTTCAGACCTCCTGTGAGTGGAGGGATTGTTAAAACGCCAGCAGCTTTTTCCCCCCGTTTTTCTCCCCTAGAATTCTGTAAAAATGCAAAGAAAATTGAGTGGTACTTAAGAATTGAGGGTGAGGGTTACCGCAGAATAGAAGCATACTTCTAGATTTCAGTTCCATGCCACAAATCCACACAATGCCATTTTTCAACTGTACAAAAGAATCTGCTTATGAATTTGACATGATCTTAACAGTAGCATCAAAGGGCCGAATTTTTCACCTGTTAATATTTTTTCACATTTGTCCTTGAATCTGATAACTTCACAGTACTGTAAATTTAACTTACCTTGAGTTTGATGTCAATTCTTGTGAAAAGAGCTTCTGCATGTAACAGACACACAGTTAAAGAACACAGCAGAATACAAGATTTGCAGGACCAGTTTTGGAACCGACAGAAAATGTCACCTCTCATTTGCCATCTTATGTATCAGTTTTACCAGCTACTTCTAAATTTGTACATTATTTGTAAGGAAAAGAAGGAAAATCCTAAGGACTTGTCTAACTTAGTGGAGAATGTGTGTGTTGGGTTTAGGATGGATAGCAAAGTCTTACTGAGCTGTGTTATCTAACTTGTATATAACAATTGTAATTAAAAGTTTGGATTCACCTGTTTCTTGCAGTTTAAAACAATGAATAATTACAAACTCTGGAAATGTGACTAGTATACAACTTAAGGCTGTAGAAGTGAGGAAGCTCTTCAAGTGCTAAAAATAAAGATTTCTAGTTTTTGGCTCAAATTCAGTAAGTACTGTTTGTATACCAGGATATGTGAGATGTAAATGTAATAGGTCACTTTCACCCTTGTAGCTATAAAATAAAAAATTTGTAGAACAGAAATAGCTTGTACTACTGAATTAACAAAAAGTTATACTAAAGTATCATGTTTAAAATACACACACACACACACACACACACACACACACACACACAGAGTTAAGCTTGTTGCTGTTACCCTGTCTGGATTTGAAAAGTGTGCGGACTTATATATATATACACACACATATATATATAACACACACATGCATATACACACGTATATATATTATATACATGCACACATTTAAAATGGCCTAAAGCAGACATCCATGTAATTACAGTTGCAAAATGAAGACATTTTGGAAAGAACATTGTATCATAGTTCATTCATTTGCAGTGGATCTTTGTTCCTTTTTACTGTGGTAATTTTAGAAATGAGTGTCAAGTTTGAAATTAGATCTGCTAAGTTGGGGTTTTGCTGCTTGAACTCTGCACTGGGTCCTCAAATAAACCGATGTGAATGTAGTTTTTTCCCCCTGTGTGAAGAAGCAGCCACACCCCAACAGAATAGGAGGAAAAATCTAGAGCTATTTCAAGTTTTATCTTTTTGTATATGAAAATAAAATAATAATAATTAAACTACCCTGTTGTCTCTCTTAATCACGTGGCAGGGGATTGAGGTTTCTTTTCATGGGGATTAGAAATAAATATAATGGTGTTTTCCACTTACAGAGCTGACTCAGAAACACCCCTGTGAGTTCCTGTGTGGTACACGTACAGTTGTTAATGGTTGAGTACGTAGTCTACCATGGTCCTGTGGTACTGGAGCTCGGCACGGGTCTTCATTTCTGCCCTTCAGAAGCTCAGGACCTAGTTGGAGACACTGTGGGCTTCTAAATGGACTGTCCTGGGACTCGGGGTAAGCTCCTGCAGGGTAGGGGTATATTTACCAAATTTCCAACTTTTACCCACTCCCCCTAGTTCTATACTTTGCAGACAACTCTGGGCAATATTTTTGTAAGTGGAGCAGAGAAGCCTAGGATATAAGTGTTATTCTGGATTACTGCGGAATACTGGCTCTGCCATTTCTAAACACAGCTGAGTATCAGGGTCCCTGTAAAATCAAACAATATAGTTATGGGGCACCACCCCAGATCTGAATCTGTAAGCCAGGTCTCACGTTTTGGAGTTCTTGACTTCCCTCACTAGATGAAAACATGGTTCCCTGTTAATAAAACAACGATAGTCTCTATTGTCTAACAAAGAAAACGGGAAAGCCCCAGAAATCACTGCTTTCCTCAGTAACATAGGTTTTTTTAGGCCCGTGACTAATAATTGCTAAGTGGGGAAATGCCAGCTTTGGATCCTCCTCCTGGTAGGGTTAATGCCTTTCTATTCGTGCTTTAAAAGGATTAAGCAACCTGTTTGGAACTCTTAGCAGTTTTCAATGAAGGGACCCTTTATTTTGGGACCGATTGCCCAGCTCTTGGTCCATTCGGCTCTTTCAGATTTAGATAGTTCACCTTTTACTAGTGAATGTCTCTAATGATAAGTGCAGAGAAGGAAAGAAAGGCTGACCTTGTGGAACGAGGACCTTAAAGCTAGAACTACTGGAAGGTTGGACCCGAGAGGTCATCTGGTCACACTTCTCCTTCAGCAAAGGAATTCTTTCACCAGAAGGAACTGGACGCAGAAGCTGATTTCTAAAAACAGGCTTGCTCAAGTGAGCAAGTACAAGAGGGTGCAGGGGCCATTAAGCCTGCCCTTCCACTCCTTCCCTTAAGTCTCCTAGTTACAGTCCCCTAGTTACAGTTCAAAAACCACTGCTCCAATTCCTTCATTTTAAAGGGGGGCAAACTGGCCCAGAGGGAGATACCCTACCCTAAGTCAGGCAGCCCTTCCAGCTCTTGACCTCTGGGGGCCAAGTGAGGGGTTCACTGTTGTTTCCACATACAGGATCTGGATGAGGAACCGTCACCTCCCATTTATCTCTGGTGTCTATCACAGCACACGGCACTTAGGAAGGCCTTGAGCAACAAACACCTCTTGAATGTAGGTCGTAAATTCTGGTACAAGTTGCTGAGGTAGCTTTGAAACCTATGGTCAACACCAGTGCTGTCTGGTTGTATTTGTCGGGACTCTTGATTGCAAATGACAGAAGCCATTAAACAAAAAAAAAGGGGGGGGGGCGTGGTTACACGAAGGATCCTGGGGCAAAGGGCCAGGCAAACTTTGGTAAAGGCAAGATGCGACCGGGCTTCAGGCGTCTTGGAAGCTGGGATCACAGCACGGCAGCCCTCCGTTTCCTCCTGGGTTGCTTAGCACAAAACCAGATGCATCTGCTTTGTCCACTTAGCGGGAAACAAGGCTACAGATGGTGCCAGACTTTCAAATGTCACAGCTGTGCTACCTGGAGAGTCTTGCAGATCCACAATCCCTGGAAACATTCTGGTTGACCTAGCTGAGCCAATTAGGGTCAGAGGTAGGGGACTGATGATACGGAACCGCTTTATAATAGGTATTCCTGGGGAGGGGACATGGAATCCGGAAGCTGTCAAAACAACATCTGTACTTCCTTCCTTAGCTGGATGTCGGGAAGGCCTCCTGCTTAAGTCCACGTGGAGTGCTGTCGATTGCACTGCAAAATGTATTTTGAGTGGGAGTGCATAGAACATCTCCTTACTTACTTTGTCAGCCGTCATTCAGCAGTCTGGATTTTGTGTTCTATCAAGACAAAAGAGGACTACGTAAAAATCGCTGATGTTTACAGAGCACTTAGTGACATACCCCAGGTTCTTCCCTAAACTCCACATGGCAATCTTTATTTTATTTTATTTTTTTAATTTGTATTTATTCTTGAGAGGGAGACAGAGACAGAGCGCGAGCAGGGGAGGAGCAGAGGGAGAGGGAGACACAGAATCCGAGGCAGGCTCCGGGCTCCCAGCCGTCAGCACAGGGCCGGAGGAGGGGCTCGAACCCCTGACAGCAGGATCGTGACCTGAGCCGAAGTCAGACGCTTGCCTGTCTGAGCCACCCAGGCGACCCCATGCATGGTCATCTTTAATCCTCACCAGAAGCCTATGGTCTAATCACCTTCATCATACTTATTTTATTGTTTATATATACAAATAAATTTCATTTACTATATGGAATTTCTATATATATTTAATACATATATATTTATTAAATATCATTTAATATATGGAATTTATTGCTATTATTCCCATCTGAGAAAGAGGAACCAGAAGCCCTGAAAGGTGAAGTTAACACACCTGAAGTGGAAAATGGTCGCGCATCCAAACCCCTGCGCTCTGATTCACGGCCCTAAGCCACCACGAAGTACTGTCTCGTCAAGAGGCTCCTTAGGATGTACAAAGCTGTTTTGAGAAGTTAGGAGTCCTATACTGTGACCTCGCAGCCAGGTGTCACGAAGACATCCAATGTGGCACAGGTTTTGGAATGAGACCGGAGTTGGGATCGTGGCTCTGAGGCCTTCACTGTAACCATGTGCAGGTGGTTTCCTCACCTATTAAGTGGCACTAAAGGTATTTTCTTCTCAGGACTCTCTGTGCACACCACTGCGCCCTCCAGAGGTCATGCCTCCCACCTATCACCCGATCAAAGGGACCAGGGGCGGAGCGGGGATACACCCGGGCCGCCAGTTTTGTCACCAGGGGGCTCCCGAGACTCTCAGCGCGGAGGGTGTGCGCCTGCGCCCTCACCTCTGGCGCCTCCACAGGGGCTTGTCCCGGGCGACCCCAGGTTGCGCATGCGTGTGTCTCTCCTGCGGTTGCGATTGGCTTTCAGGCGCCCGTGCAGGTGTGCGCATGCGCCGCTGTAGAAGGCAGGCCCTTAGAATAAGATGGCCGCGGGAAGTTTTGCTTCCCGCCTCAGGGGCTCCCGGCGCTTTCTGAGTGTCTTCGTGGCCGGAGCTGTGGTGGGCGCCGCGGGAGGCGGGTTCACGGCCCTGCAGGTGCTCCGGAGTCAGGGCGCTGAGGCAGCGTTGGCGGTGAGGGAGCCCGACGGTAAGTCTGTCGGCCTGCTCTTCCTTCCCTGGCCCGGCTTTCGGGCCGGATTCCCACCTCGGGCGTGTATCGTTAATTTTCGAGCCGCGGCACTTCTCCCTTTGCCGTCCCCGAGCCGGGGGGTCCTGGGTTCTCCGCCTTCCCAGTCTTCCCGCCCCGCCTCCCCGCTGCCCCTGGACTGTCGCCTGCCTCCTTCGCATACTTCTCCATCTTCGTTTTCTCATCATCTACCACCGAAGTATTTATCACATGTATGTTTGTTTTAATGTCTGTGGCCTCCATTAGGTCGTTCACTCCGCACACAGTGTTAGCAGATGAGTTAGTTAATTGTCCTCATTTTGTCATCGTTCAAACGCAGAGGACCCGCCTTAACCCCACAAACTGTCACGTTATTTTGTCAGCAGAAAAAATGGGCTCATTCGGAAAGAGCAGAGAATTAACGATTGAGGACAAGCAAGCTATGGCAAAACCATAGGCAAGTCCAACACCCAAAGTGGGGGAGGAACTTCATGGAGGCGACCGAGGAAGTTGGGAGGGTTTCTTTTGAAAAGTCCGTTGGAGAAAAGTGCAGGGTGAGGAGTGTCTCATTGGCCGAGTCGCATGGGTGTTCAGCTTCTTGTAGGAGTTGCCCTGCACATCTTTTCCCTCCCGGGGGCCTGGCGTTGAGGATTCTCCCCGCTTGGCGGTTTTTCCTGTAACTGACACCGCGTGGTGTGGCTTCCCCTTCCAGCCTCCCCTTCCGAGCATCCAGAGCCCCCTTTAGTGAGGTTTCCCTTTATTAATTTTCACACCTGCTCGCTGTTCTCCAAAGTATGTAAATCCCGCAGCTGCCAGGGCTCCCTTATATTTAGCAGGGAAAATGAGCTCATGCTCATTGTTCACGCTTTCCCTGACCTGCCGATTTAACTGGTTCCTTCTGATATTTGGCAGTTAGCAAGAGAACGGCTCTGGTAGGTTGAAGACCTGGAGGAGGCATCAGGAGAGGATTAGTTTCACCGAGTCCGTGTTAAATGTGTACTTGGTTTCTCCCACTGGGAGGAATGATACCAGTTTTGCCACTGTTTTTGCAGCAGCGCACGTCTCTGCTTCAGTTCCAGAATGTTGAAGACGACTGTCAACGAATGGCGGTCTTCTAAAATACTTATAAAAGGCGGTGCTTTTGTCCCCACGCTAACTCTTAAAATGTAATGAGGAGGTAGGCTCTTTCCCACTCAGTCGTATCAGTGACCAGTAATGACGTGTTTTTCCTTTGCTGCTTTTGTATACACAGTACTTTATGGGGCACCTATTTGGACATTTGGTGTGAAAGAGCAGTAAGATCAGGTCTTTATTTACGGGGCGCCTGGGTGGCTCAGTCTGTTGGGCGTCCGACTTCGGCTCAGGTCATGATCTCGTGGTCCGTGGGTTCGAGCCCCGCGTCGGGCTCCGTGCTGATGGCTCAGAGCCTGGCGCCTGCTTCGGATTCTGTGTCTCCCTCTCTCTCTCTGCCCCTCCCCCGCTCGTGCTCTGTCTCTCTCTCTCAAAAATAAATAAACATTAAGAAAAACTTTTAATGAGATAGCTGCAGTTTACCTTGATAAAACCACACGACTGATTACTGGCAAAGTCTGCTGTCTCCTCTGCCTCGGAAGTACAGTAAAACCTTGGGTCGCGAGTAACTTGTCCTGCGAATGTTCTGCAGGATGAGCAAACATTTGTAGTAAATTTTAACTTGAGAAACAAGCGATGTCTTGCAATACGAGGAGTAGGTGATGCCGAATGTCACACGATCACAACTGAGCCAGTGGTTCTTGAAATTCACTTTGGTACACAAATGCTTTGGACTATAAGTATGTTTCCAGAATGAATTACAAAATGGGATCTGGTTGATTAGACTTTTGAGCCAGTCCTTGGTAAGTCTCACCCCTCTCCCTTGACTTACAATGTTTTGTTCCTAGTAAGAATCACTAACTGTTTGTTTTTGTCCCCCCACCCCCCTTTTCATCTTTAGGTTGTGCAGAAAAGGCTCTCTTGGAACAATTTGGAGTCCCTTTAACTGGAACAGAGACTAGGCGTTACACTAATCATGCCTTGTCTTATGATCAGTCGAAGCGCGTGCCTAGATGGGTACTTGAACATATATCCAAAAGCAAGATAATGGGTAGGTGGTTAGAAGTAATGGCATTGATGAAAGATGTTTCTAAATGTAGAGCAAGGAAGATTATTGATTCAACCTCTTCCACATTATATCACACTTAGAAAATGATGATGTTTGTAAGACTCACTTAGATAAATGGACCTACCTGGTAGCCGAGGAGCCCCAGACTCTTCCCAGCTTTCTCGGAGGCTGAGAGGATCCATATCCTGACATAGGAGTTGGAAGCTCTGTCTTAAATGTTGCTACAACTAGCACCATTCATTCATTGTCTCCACAAATATTTTTATTTATTTATTTTTTTTTTAATTTTTTTTTCAACGTTTTTATTTATTTTTGGGACAGAGAGAGACAGAGCATGAACGGGGGAGGGGCAGAGAGAGAGGGAGACACAGAATCGGAAACAGGCTCCAGGCTCCGAGCCATCAGCCCAGAGCCTGACGCGGGGCTCGAACTCACGGACCGCGAGATCGTGACCTGGCTGAAGCCGGACGCTTAACCGACTGCGCCACCCAGGCGCCCCACAAATATTTTTATTTAAAAAAAAATTTTTTTTTTAATGTGTATTTATTTTTGAGACAGAGAGAGACAGAGCATGAACGGGGGAGGGGCAGAGAGAGAGGGAGACACAGAATCGGAAGCAGGCTCCAGGCTCTGAGCCATCAGCCCAGGGCCCGACGCGGGGCTCGAACTCATGGACCGTGAGATCGTGACCTGAGCTGAAGTCGGACGCTTAACCGACTGAGCCACCCAGGCGCCCCCCCACAAATATTTTTAAAGTGCCTGCCATGTGTCTGGCATTATGCTGAGCCTTGGGACCAGAGCAGATGGTCTCTATGTTCATGGCACATGGTTGACCTATCAAACCACTAAACATGTATGTATAATTGCTTTTAGTAATAACTGTTCCAAAGGACAAGTGATTGAAAGTTAGGTTAGTGTAAGTAAGGAACAGTAAAGAATGTGATGAGAGATGATAATAGGAGAACCTGATCTTGATTAGCAAGGGTTCTCCCCAGAAAATGGTCTGGAGGGTGGATGACTGTTACCTAGGCAGAGGAGTTGGGTGGGCCATGGGGTGTGGAGAAGAGCATTCCAGACAGAAAGAAAAGCACAGTTGCATCTTCGAAGGCCCCAACGTGAAGAGTTTTGTTCCTTTAGGGAACTGAAAGAAGGCCAGAGTGGCCAGAACAAGGGAGAGTGTGTGAAATGAGACTAGAGAGGTAGGCAGGTGCATAAGTATGTTTGTGTGTTTTTTAAGTCTTGGTGCACTCCTGTAATTAAGATGATATGTAATGTTAAATTGGTTTCTGTGGAGATTATTCCAGTTTACAGTATCTACCGTTCACTACTTGTCCTATCTTTCTCACCCATAATGAGCATTATCGAGCTTTACCAATTTAATAGCTGATTTTATTTCCATTTATCGGTTACCAGTGAAAATCAGTATTTTGTGAATTATTCTTTGTCAGTTACTGTTACCATTTTCAGTTGAGATGTTATGTTTTGAATTGATTTGTGGGAGTTCTTTTATGTAATAAGGTATTACCTTTTGTCATAGTTATTTACTCATATTTCATTTAGCTTTTAATTTGCTGTAAGGCCCACACATTATTTCTCCTTTGCTTTACAGTGCATGTTATGTTTACATATATTAAAATGCTGACACTCATATGAGTGCATGCCTGTCTAGAGTGCAACCAACCAGCACACTAGCAGAAGTCTTGGACTGCTTGCTGCTAGAAGGAAACTGAGGTAGTTGGAAACTTTATGATAGCAGTTGAGAGTCGATTAGAAATTTACATCGAGGGAAACTCATTCGGTTTAGTTAGTCTCAAGCCTAATGAATTTCCTTAAAATACAAGACTTTTTCCAAGATGTAAGGAATTTCAGTTGTACTAATTTTATCCTCCTGTTGCCATTTTCAGAGGCATATAAGAAAAGCAAGGCATTTCACGTTGTAAATCCTGTGAGCTGTGTAATTTGAGGAAGCAAAATAATATTTGAGAACAGGAAGCAGGATACCTGTGATTTATTTGATTTTAGTCTAAAGAGTCTTCTGTTTTCAATAATGACACACCAAATTATTCCCATTAACTCTCTGCTAAAAAATGACAGGAAATGTTAGTAGTAGTATGTAAGAAGTATGTAGGAAAAAGTCACACGTGCGTGCGCGCGCGCACACACACACACACACACACACACACACACACACACACACACGAGTCAGCATGATAGTGAATTGCCAAGCCAGTATTTGGGGGAGAGCTAGAATCCAGAGAGGTAAGGGCAATCCTGGTAAACCAAAGCCACATTGCTTCTGATGCCACACCTTTGTAGTAGGGAGAAGGGGACTAAAGGCAAGACCTGGGGCTCACCCAAGGTAGATTGTCTTATAGGAGACCCTCCCACATTAGCCTGGAACCCCAGAGGGCTACACCGTGGGGGAGGAAGGGTGAACCAGAACAAACCAGCCTGCTCACCTTCAGGGACTGTATGGGAGATTGTCTTGGCACTGAGCAGGAAAGGGTCAAAAGGAAAATAAAAAACCTGTTCCAGAGAAGTTGAGGCCACACACTGGCTATCTTGCACACTTGCAGCCCAAAGCCACGTAGCCTGGATGGATTAAGTCCTTAAGTCCTGAATTTGGTTCAGCGTGGTCTTCCTCTGGCAGTGCCTCCAGATACCTGATCGGAGCAGGTTTATACCCATCTCAAGGAAGGCATCTTCATCCTAGGCCTTTGGAAATTCCACAAATGAATTTTCGAGACAACCAGGCATGCAAAGAAGTGATTCCAGTGGTAATGACACTTAGAAGTTTACTATCAGTTCTTCAGTTATTTTTTTCTTTACGACATGGCTCTAAAAAGCTAGGTAGTAGGTAATTTATTCTGAGTCTTGGGATCATTTAAAATTTTTCTGGCTGAATGAAATGACATTAGAATCAGTAACTTCATTGGTCTCCATTTTAAACTTGTTTGAATAGCAGCCTGAGTATGTTCCGTTTATCCCCATTATTTTTGTAGTTTAACAAGATCTGGCCTAATGACAGTGGAAAATGTACTGTTAGGATTTGCTGATGTCTGTTGTGGCAAACTATCCTGGCAGTGTTAGAATAGAAATAAATTGAGATTTTTTTCTCTCCCATGTGGTACTCAGATACTTTGTTTCAGAAATTTCTGGGTTGAACTCATAACCTAAATGTTTGTTTTGTCATGGCTTAAGCAGCGACAAGCAAGATATCAGAGACACTTTCACCCTCCCCTAGACTGTGCCTGCCCAGGACAAATTGTTTTGTGTCTATATATATCCATTATTTCAGTACGTGTAAACTTATCAAATACAGTTGCACAAAATACAATGCGTGAGGGTCTTTTGAAAAGCAAGAGTTTATTTAGTAGTAAGCTTTTTATATAGTTCAGGTATTTGGTCGTTGTTTTTACTTAAATACTATCCAGAGGATTTTTCTCCTTTAATTTGAAAGGCTAGAAACAAAAGAATATGAGATAGCTACACTGTACAAAAAGCATTCTTTCCTAGACTAGTCCTTGCTAAATTCAGATGAGGTATCTGAACTATCCCAGGAACTTGAAACATGCACGCAATCACTAAGTACTAGCTACTCAGAGAGATACTAGCCAGCAGCAAACAGCTTGCCTTGGTTAGAGAATCTTGAGGAATATTTATCCACTGATAACTTGCCCATTTTGTGTGTTTTTCTGTAGGTGATGCCGACAGAAAACATTGTAAATTTAAGCCTGATCCCAACATCCCTCCAACCTTCAGTGCCTTCAATGAAGACTATGTTGGGAGTGGGTGGTCACGAGGACACATGGCTCCAGCAGGAAATAACAAATTTTCATCTGTAGGCATATTTTTTTGGGAGGGATGGGAATACAGGGCTGGTGGTCTATATACCAATGGACTTGGACTTTAAGAACATAGGAGTCAAACCTTAGTATTTGAGAATTTCTGTACTCTTATTTTGCATTTTTCTTCCTGAATTTAATTCGGGTTTTTTTGCTTAGATGGTAAAACATTCTTAAATAGGTTGAAAAGTCAAACTAATTACTATGTAAAAGAACTGGAGAGCCACTAGGAGCTATTTATTTATTATTTATTTACTTTTATTTTGAAAGATTTCAGACCTGTGGAAAAGTTGAGAATACAGCAAAAACATTTTTACCTGTAGAAAAATTAAAAAGATAGTATAGCCAATACATTTTGATATGTTTTCTTTATGTGTGCATACATATATATGTATGTACAATTCTTTTTCACCATCAGCAGTAAGTTGCAGACATCATAACACTTTATCCCTAAATAGATATTGCTCAGGAGATTGTATCATGTAAGAAATGAGGATATATGTATATATGACAAGAGTATCATCATACCAAGAAGTGTGTGTACATGTATTTTTGAGTATTTGTACAATAATATTCTCTAATCTACAGTTCATGCTCAGATTTGCCAAATTGTTGCAATTGCATTCTTTACGACTTTCTTTGATCCATATTCAGTCATGAATCGCCTATCACACTTAGTTATCATGTCTTCCTAGTGTCCTTTAAGTAAAATAAGTTCTCTGCCAAAAAAAGGAGACAAATGTCTTTTATGACATGGACATGTATTGCATCAACTTTGGTGATTATTGTCATTAAGGTGGTCGTTTTTAATCTTAAGATACTCCTAATCACCTAGGGATGTTTTAAAAAAAAATCCTGATGCCCAGACCCAGAGCAGTTAAGTCAGAAACTCTAGGGGGTGGAACTCGGCACCAATATTTTTAAAGCTCTCTGGCTTATTCCAGTGTGCATTCAAGGTTGAGAACCACTACTTGCAGAGAAGGTAACTGATGGTAATATAGATCAGTGGAAGGAGATACGACGACAGCCTTGTGTTTAGGGTCAGAAATGTGAAATGAATGCACATCTAGTGGCCCGAAATTCAGAAGAGCAAGGAATCCTTCTCTGCCACTTTTTACTAAAATGTTGTATTGTATTACTTAAATAAAGTTTCTGAAAGTTGACCTTTATGTAGAAATTCTTTGCCAGAGGCTGAAAACTTACCCTTTAGCTTACATTGGAAACTTAGTTCTTAGAGTCTATGTAACAGGTTTGAATTGTAAGAATTACAAAGAAAGCTAGCATACCAAACTACTTATTTTGTTACAGTCCTTATTTTGAATAATCTGTATTGGGCTTTCTGACCTGAAATAACTGTGGCTCTCATTTATTTAAACAAGTAGTCACTGTAATTGCCTAGAGCTAACGTATAAGGAACTGCTTTTTGTGTCTCTTTGTAAAATCTCAAAGGGGAAGGCATTTCCGTGCAGGTTACTATTTTTATTTCTTTTCACAGCAAGCCATGGCTGAAACCTTTTACCTTTCTAATATTGTGCCTCAGAATTTTGATAATAATGCTGGATATTGGAACAGGTGAGGGGTGAGAGTTTTAAAATGTGATTCTGTGGGAGATGAATGATGTGCCAGGAGAATGTACTAGTGCGCCCATCAACTGTTTCTCTTTCTTTCTCAAAGGCTAACGCCACTGAAGGTAAGTACTTTGGACTAGTGCTGGTCTTGGGAGTACAGTTATCTGTGGGAGTACAGACTTCAAGGCAGCCAGCCATTTTGAAGTGGCAAAAGTCACTGGTCAAAAGCCAAATTTTGGAAGAAACTACTCAGAATATTACTGGAGCATTAAGAAATTTTTGAGTATGTCCAGAGGACACTGTACTTTTTTCTACGTGTATTTCAAGAGTTGCTGAGCTTGCTTTTCTTTTCTTTCTTTTTTTTTTTTAAAGTTTTGGTACAGTTAAACATAACTGTTAACCAGTTTTTTTTTTTTTTAATTTTTTTTTTTTTCAACGTTTATTTATTTTTGGGACAGAGAGAGACAGAGCATGAACAGGGGAGGGGCAGGGAGAGAGGGAGACACAGAATCGGAAACAGGCTCCAGGCTCTGAGCCATCAGCCCAGAGCCCGACGCGGGGCTCGAACTCCCGGACCGCGAGATCGTGACCTGGCTGAAGCCAGACGCTTAACCGACTGCGCCACCCAGGCGCCCCTGTTAACCAGTTTTTGATAGATAGATAGATAGATAGATAGACAGACAGACAGACAGACAGACAGAACCTAACTATTAAATCATCGAATTTGGAGCAGTGCCTGTGTGGCTCAGTTGGTTGAGCGTCCTGATTTCAGCTCAGGTCATGATCTCACGGTTGGTGAGATCTAGCCCCATGTCAGGCTACAGGCTGTCAGCTTGGGATTCTCTCTCTCTCCCTCTTTCTCTGCTCCTTCCCTGATTGTGCACACATGCATGCTCTTTCAAGATAAATAAACTTAAAAAAAAAAAATCTGGGCCTTCTGCAGTTTTTTGACACTTAACCAGTTCTACCAGGGGATCTCTTTAAGCATCGAAAACTACCACTGACTGAGGTTGTTCCAGGCTATTGCATTTTTCTCAAACAGTACTTGTGGTTTAAAATAATTAGGAGAGCACCCCACACTTGAAAGACTTCAGCAGTTACAGTCATAGCTCCACACTTGTTTTCTCTACATACCCTCCCTTCCCCCACTCATTATTTTAAGCAGGTGACAGCTATATTTTATCTATAATTGTTTTCCCATATATTTTTAGAAGATAAGGATTTTTATTTTTTGTTTTTTATTAAAAAAAATTTTTTTGTAACCATTCATTCATTCATTCATTCCTAGAGCACAAGCGGGGGAGGGGCAGAGAGAGAGCAAGACACAGAATCTGAAGCAGGCTCCAGGCTCTGAGCTGTCAGCACAGAGCCTGACGCGAGGCTCGAACCCATGGCCTGCGAGATGATGACCTGAGCCGAAGTACATTTAACCGACTGCGCCACCCAGGCGCCCCAGAGATAAGGGTTTTTAAAATAAGTTTTTTTATTTATTTAGAGAGAAAGGGAGAGCGAGAGAGTCTCAAGTGAGCTCCATGCTGTTAGTGAGGAGCCTGATGTGGGGCTTAAACTCATGAACTGTGAGAATCATGATCTGAGCCGAAATCAAGAGTCGGATGCTTAACCAACTGAGACAGTCAGGTGCCCCTAGAAGATAAGGACTTTTTAAAAAATGGAAGCAAAGCACTATTATTACCCCTAAAAATTTAGCAGTAATTCCTTATTACCAATTTTACAATTAGTGTTCAAGTTTCTCCGTCTTTAATTTTTTTTTCTGGTTGATTGGTTTGGGTAGGTTTGCTTTCTAATCCTTTTTTTTTTTTTTTTTTTTTTTAATCCTTACCAATTATTTGTTGAAGACCTGGGATATTTGTCTTATAGTTTCCTTTTTGTTTTGGCTGGTTGCATACCTGTGGAAGCATTTAACATTTTCCTTTCCCAAGGGATATATTTTTGGGAGGAAAATTTGCCTGATAATTACGCATATATGCTGTGAGGTACAATCCCGTTGATTTTATTTTTTAGATATGGAAGCTGAGGGATGATGACATACATTGTAATTTCTCATAAATGTCTGCCAACTGCAGTGTAAGAATGCATATTAAACTCGCCATTTTTATCGAGTAAATTAGCAGCCATTTTTAAATGATAAATCCCAGTGGTAAGGATTGTTGTGAAACTGCAGGGTCGTATTTTGGAGTATATAGAGTAAATTGGTACAATACCATTAAAAATACTGCTGCTGCATATAATCAAGTGTTATTAAAATATGTATTCAGTAAAGTAATTATGGCCCTTGAAGTTTATCCTAAGGAATGTTGTGTTATGTAAGAAATGTTAGGATGAACCCATTTGCCCCACAGGAGGAATGGTTAAATAAATAAGGTGTATCAACTTGATGAAATGATATATAACTCTTGAAAAATGATTGAGAATTACAACACAGAAAGATAAGGGAGAAGACGATTTCAGTTCTAAAATATATACTCAGTGCACAGACAGGAAAATGTAGATAGTCGTATAAATGTGTTTAATTTTTAAGTTTTGTGCAGTGAAGAACTGGGACAATTATTGCTTATATGCGTATGATGTTTTGTGCAATATTGTCTTGTTCACATTCATCTGTGAAATTGAGTTTTCCTGATGTCTTTCCTAGGGATTTGATGATGGTTTGCTTCTCTTCTGTATTTATGTCTGTGAGAGTATCACACCTTTTTTTTTTTTTTGCTTTGTTTTTCAGAATGGAAATGTACTGTCGAGAACTGACGGAGAGGTTTGAAGATGTTTGGATCGTATCTGGACCGTTGACTTTACCTCAGACTGGAAGTGATGGAAAGAAAACAGTTAGTTACCAGGTAAGGGTATGTTTTAACATTCAGGCTTATGTTATTTGTATGAGATTATAATTTCATTCTGTATTCTACTTTCTAATTTCCTTTATTGAACACCTGTTGGAATCATAGGCATCGGGGATATAATGATGGATTGAAAAGCAACCACTGACTTCAGGGAGCCCACAGTTTAGAAAGGGAGACAGACGTGTTGTAAGTTAATCACGCTAGAGTGTGATATGCTGCAGCAGAGATAAATACATGGTGAAGGGCCATCACAAGAGGACTGACCAATTCTATTTGTGTGGGTTGGGAAGACTTAACAGGAAGTGGTTTGTGAGCTAGATCTTGACAGATGAGTAAGAGTAAACTGAGTCAGTGAATCCCTGTATCGTACATCTGAAACTAATATAACGCTGTATCTTAACTATACTGGAATTAAAATTTTTTAAGATGGGAGAGAAAAAGAATAAACTGAGTCAGGAAGGGAGCCTGGGAGTTCAAAAGATGGAGCAGTGCAAGCACAGGACATTTGGGATTAACAGCAGAGGTCTGCAATTCTGGTATCATTAATAAAGATTGCAGCTTAGGGCTCAACACAGGTATGGGTGGCTCAGAGGGGATGATTTCTACAAGTACGGGTAAGACAGGGGCCAGATAGTAAGTAGAGGGCTTTGCATTCCATGAAGGCTTAGATTTTAATATTTAGATAGAAGTCCTAGGTTTGTTTTAAGTGTGGGAGACATTTGGTTTGTTTTGGGTTTTCTAAAGAGTATGCTGGCAGCACTATGTAGAAAGTAGGGAGGAAGGGCTGTTTGAAAGAGAAGTCAGAGGCGAGGCGAATGGGGCGTTACTGCAGTGGTCCGTCCATATGAGAACAGACACGGCGCCACACAAGCAGCTGGAGGGAGGACGATAGAGGAATATGGGAAAGAGTAACCCTGAACTCATTTTTTGGTGAGGAGAGGAAAAAGTTCAAATGATATTTAGGGGGCAGTGAGCAGAGTAAGTGGGAGGAATGGCTTTTCTTGTAGATGCTAGAGTTTTTAAAAAAGGTGAAGTTTTTTTTACATGCAAGATACTTAAGAACCCTACGGACTGACGGAAAGAGAGGTTAAACCGTAAGAGTAGAAAAAGTGGTGTGAGGGCCTGCGTGTGGTGTGAGAGTAAGCGGTGTGGGGATTGCGGCCAGAGGGTAGCTGAATTCCTACAGTGACACACTGTGAGATGCGTCCAGGGCAGGGAACTGGGTGGGCTGAAGAGGAAGAGGTGATAGAGTGAGCAAAGAGGGATTGAAGGACTTCCCTGTAGGTCCAAGAGATGTATTTGGAGGGAACACCTAGCTCAGCTCTAGGAAGAAAGCAGATATTTAGTAAATGCTGGTTTGGTTAGAAAGTCTGTGATAGAATTGAATGACCTGAGAAACAGGTTTAGGATAACAAAAGTAACTTTAGGGCATGTCCTGTCGCACTTGCTTATTATCTGCCTGTCTGGATCAGCCGCGTAGTGATGTATAAGTATCCAGAGTGTTCACCTAGGTGCTCACGCCCTCAGAGTATTCCAGCAGTTCTTATGGGAGGGAAGGACTGGCACAGGAGTTCGTATGTTAAATAGGTTAATCTCTCTCCTCCGATCAGTTTGCTAATTTGATTTTAGTATTTTTTCTTTTGGTAGAAGAAAAAAATGGGCTCCCTGTATTCTCTTATTTTTAAAATATTAATTATTCTTTTTTTAAAAATTTTTTTTAATGTTTATTTATTTTTGAGACAGAGAGAGACAGCATGAATGGGGGAGGGGCAGAGAGAGAGGGAGACACAGAATCAGAAGCAGGCTCCAGGCTCCGAGCCATCAGCCCAGAGCCTGACACGGGGCTCGAACTCATGGACCGCAAGATCGTGACCTGAGCTGAAGTCGGATGCTCAACCGACTGAGCCACCCAGGCACCCCTAAAATATTAATTATTCTTGGGCTTTGTTAAATCCTCTTTACTCTTGCCGTTGGAAAAGAGGTTCTCCTAACTTTGACTTTCAAACTTTAAGTGATGAAGCTAGTTTTATGTGTGCTTTGTTTTCATAAAATCGGAAGATTTATATGACTAGCTTACTGTGTAGTAGAAGAATTTATGCAAAGTATGAAAGGAAAATTAACCCAGTAATAGCATAACAGTTGGGTTTTTTTTGGCTGGATATTTGTTAAATACGGGTTGGCCAAATGCTGTAGTATATTTTTTGCTGAAAGTATATTTTTTTCCTTAAATTAGGTATAATTTTTAAAAATATAGCTTATAAAAATATCTGCCAGCTCTTTTTGCTGAACGGGCCTAAAAGCAGTGATATGTTATCAGCAGTGAGCATACCTTGAGACCAGATCTTGTTTCTAAAGAACCATCTTCAGGGCACCTGGGTGGGCTCCGTGGGTTAAGTGTCCAACTCTTGATTTTGGCTCAGATCGTGACCTCATGGTTCATGAGAACAAGCTCCATGTCTAGCTCCACACTGACAGCACAGAGCCTGCTTGGAATTCTCTCTCTCCCTCTCTCTCCCCCTCTTCCCAACCCGTGCTTGCTTTCTCTCTCTCTCTCTCTCTCAAAATAAAAACTTAATGGGGCACTTGGGTGGCTCAGTCAGTTAAGCATCTCTTGATTTTGGTTCAGGTCACCATCTCATGGTTCATGAGTTTGAGCCCTGTGTCAGGCTCCATGATGTCAGCTATCAGTAATCAGTTATCAGCTCAGAGCCCGTTTGGGATTCTCTCCTTCCCTCTCTCTCTCTCTGCCCCTTCCCTGCTTGCGTGTGGTCTCTCTCTCCTGAATAAATTAATAAACTTAAAAAAAAAAAAAAAAAGCTAGCCTAAAATAATCCTTAAGTAAAAAATAAAAAACCGTCTTCTACTGGGAGAACTTGGCATGTGGAAAAGTGGCTGATTCCAGGCCTGGTACAGGGAAAGTACAAAATGGAACATCTTGTGCCAGAAAGCAAGAAGTGCTTATATGGTAAGGACACGTCAAAAGGACATAGAAATCCACTTGCAGGCCTTCCACCTTACTGTGTCTGGGGCTCTTTGATATCAAAATATAATGGCCTGTACATCTATTGAATTGGAGGAGAGTTTTTACTTCTAATAAATAAGTAAATACATAAGTGTAAGGAAAAACATCTGCTGACTGTAGAATGTCAATTAATAAATTTATAAGAATGAGTTTGAAAAATCATTTTGCCACCATCATGGTAATAAGTGATGCAGACAAGAATCATCAGTAGATGCTAAAACTAGTGAGTGAAAGTTTTATGGGAAGGGAAGTAGGAAGTTTATATAGTTAAAAGAATCTCTCCACAAATTACTTATTAATAACAAAGCAAGAAGTGGTAACTGTACAGTGGAGAAATTTAACCGAGTGATCAAGGTTAATATTGTCAATAATGGGATTACTGATAAGCTGTATTTCCTGGTGTGATGCACTGAGAAGAATGCAATGTTACTTCTGTGATATTTCGGCCAAAAAGCATAGCATTGAGTCTCACTGTGCAGAAACATCAGGCAAACTCCTTTGAGGGTCATTCTGTGGAACAGCTGTCTTGTACTCTTCAAAAATGTTAGCGTTGTAAAAGACAAAGCTTGAGCATCTAAATATTACAGATTAATGGAGCTTCATCAGTCATGAAAACAGAATGCATTGTGTGATTTCAGATCAGATCCTAGATCAGAAAACAGATGATACTAAAAAGGACATTATTGAGACAGTTGGCAACATTTGAGGCCTGTAGATTAGATAATTGTATTTTGTCAGTGTTTAATTTTCTGATTTTGATAGTTGTACTGTGATTATGTAAGTGAATGTCTTTGCTCTTAGGAAATGCATCCTGAAGGATGGTTCTGTGATTTATTTTCAAAGGGTTTAGGGAAAAGAAAAATACAGAGGGGAAAAACGTAATAAAGCAAAGTGGGCAAAATGTTAACAGTTGATGAAGCTGTGAAGGACACACAGGTGTTCTTTGTGCTAATCTTGCAAATTCTAAATTTGAAATTAGGATGAAACATGTATATGTACATATATTTTAATATATCTTTTCTATACCAGAATTCTTCATTACACTGGAATATATAAAACTAACCACTAAAAAGACTTACCTTGCTTCTCCTAAATAGTGACTGCTATCCAGTCCTTAAAGAGAGTTTCAAAAGAGACCTGTCATCTGTCTTCACCCAAATTAGTGTCATGGTGATGAAATGTGTGAGAGCAGCCACGATCAGCTTCCTGAAGGGTATACTTTGAGTAATAGTCTTGTTTTCTTGTTTTTGTATTAAAGCCCTATTGGTCTTAGGTCTTTTTTTCAAGTTCTGGGCTTCTGGACCTGTCCTGTTAGTTTTCCATATCTGTATTAATTTATAGGATCTATGCATGCTCACTGGCAAATCTTTAATCTAGCAAGCTTTCAAGTACCTGTCATGTGGGAGGAGGATGTATACAGAATTGTAAATGACCTGCCTCAAACTACACTTTTGATCGCTTTCTCCCTTCTTTCCTGGATTTCACATCCTGTGAGTCCTCTCTCTCCATTTCTTTGAGTCAGCAACTTTCTTAATAACTTTTAATCAGATTTTGCTGAAGCTCTGAACACCTGCAATGTGGCAGAGTCCTCCAGTGACGTTCTCTGCCTCCGGTTCTGTTGGTGCCAGTCCGTCTGGAGTCCAGAAGTCATGACTTTTCTCATCCCTACAACCATCAGAAATCAATAATACCAAAAGAACAGAAAAGTAAACTTCATTTGTACTGAAATCAGGAAATGCCCATAGTTATATCAAGAACTTCAAATAATATCTGAAAGATACAGTACACTTGGACTGAATTATACAAGGTTATTATTTTGACATGTGTGTTAATTTGATGTGTATCAAAGCATGGGGCACGGTCCTGGAATTAGTAAGGAAGTTTTTAGTAAGGCAGAATTTCTTTTTTTTTTTTTTTTTTTTTTTCCTTTTTCTCATCCACAGAACCTTAGAGAACAGATGCCTTTCTGTTAATT